GGCACAGGCGCCTTGGGCATTTTCATACGGCTGGGCTACAACAACTGCAGAATGGAGGTCTAACCAATGACTTCCCAAATATTGCAGTCACTGAGACAGTATGTGGTGCATGTCAGATGGGGAAATTAGCGAGGAATTCATTTCCTTCGCAAGCAGATTGGAGAGCAAAGGAGAAGCTGGCACTTATCCATTTTGACATTTGTGGTCCAATGACAGAAAACTCCATGAGTGGTTGTAGGTATTTTGGCTTGTTCATAGATGATTTTTCCAGGATGATTTGGGTTTGTTTCCTGCAGAATAAAGCTCAAATTTTAGGTGAATTCAAGAAGTTCAAGGCTATTGTAGAAAAGGAAAGTGACAGTGTACTGAGGTGCCTAAGGACAGATAATGGACTTGAATTCAATTCCAGCCAATTCAATGATTTCTGTTCTGAGAATGGGATCAAAAGGCAGCTCACGGCACCATATTCTCCTTAACAAAATGGTGTCTCGGAGAGGAATAACAGAACCATTGTGAAAATGGCAAGAAGCATGCTTGCTGACAAGCACCTGCCTAAAGCCTTGTGGGCTGAGGCAGTGAACACTGTTGTGTTCCTGCTCAACATGCTGCCTACAAAGACTGTAAAGCAAATGACACCGGCGGAGGCCTTGAGTGACATCAAACCATCAACTAAGTATCTAAAGGTGTTTGGATCCGTGTGCTACTGCCATATCTCGGATGATAGGAGATCCAAGCTAGAAATGAATGCTAAATTGGGAGTATTTTTGGGATATAGTACTAAAGCAAAATCATATAGAATTTTAAACCTAAAAACCAACAAACTTATGATTCGAAGAAATGTAACGGTGGATGAAAACAGCTACTGGAATTGGGAGAAGCAGAAAGTCGAACGAGACTGTGTCACAGTTGAAGAAGGAAAGCAATCAATGACAGTATCAAACCCAACTCAGAGTGATGAAGAAGATGAAGAAGGTAAAGCAGAAGAGAGAATAAAAATGAAAAGTCTAACTGACATCTATGAGAGGTGCAGCTTTGTCTCAAAAGAACCTTCCTCTGTTGAGGAAGCACTTCAGTAGCAAGAGTGGAGACTTGCCATAGAATAAGAAATCAGGATGATCGACAAAAACAATACTTGGTCTCTGGTAAAATCAAGTACAAACAAAAAACCTATTGGAGTAAAGTGGGTGTTCAAAGTGAAACTCAATCCAGACGGGACAACAAACAAGCACAAGGCACGGCTTGTGGCAAAAGGGTACTCCCAGCTTCCAGGAATCGACTACAGAGAGACCTTTGCTCCTGTGGCCAGATATGAAACAATTAGACTCATTCTGGCTATGGCAGCTCAGTTTAGTTGGAGTGTGATGCATTTGGATGTGAAATCGGCTTTCTTGAATAGCAAGCTGAATGAAGAAATTTATATTGAGCAGCCACCGGGGTTCATTCAACCTGGAAAGGAGAGACATGTCTATCTTCTTCACAAGGCCCTATACGGCCTCAAATAGGCTCCACGAGCCTGGTATGATAAGTTAAATACATACTTACTCCACTGTGGGTTTGAGAGGAGCATGACAAAAAATACACTGTATGTGAATAGAGATGAAGACAGTCTTATCCCTGCAGTATATGTTGATGATATACTAGTGACAGGCAGCAACAAAAGGAAAATGATAGAGTTCAAGCTGAAATTGGAAAAGGAATTTGAGATGTCTGATCTTGGGGAAACTACCTACTTCCTGGGAATGGAGATTCATCAAAGCAACCTGGGTATTTTTCTTTCACAAGGTAAGTATGCCAAAGAAATTCTAAATAAATTCAACATGAATCACTGTAAATCAGTGTCTACACCATTGGTGTCCAACCTGAAATTGTCAAAGGACGAGAAAGGTAGCAAAGTTGAAGAAGGGAATTACAGAAGTCTGATTGGGAGCCTTCTGTATCTCACGGCTACCAGACCAGACATTTTGTTTGCAGTAAGTTTGCTTTCAAGGTACATGGCTTCACCGAGGGTATCACACTTACAAGCTGCCAAACATGTGCTGAGGTACTTGAAAGGAACCTGGAATTTTGGTGTTCAATTCAAAGCAAGAGCTGAGGGTGGATTAGTCGGCTACAGTGACAGTGAATGGGCAGGAAGCGTAGAAGATGCACGTAGCACAACTAGGTACTTGTTCAAACTAGGCTCCGGTGTTTTTTCATGGGCATCTAAGAAATAGGATACTGTGGCTCAGTCCACAGCTGAGGCTAAGTATGTAGCCGCAGCTACAGCAACTAACCAAGCAATTTGGTTGAGGAAGGTGTTCAATGATGTAAAGCTGGACAAACAAACACCTACAGTGTTGTATGTAGACAACAAGTCTGCAATTGCCATTGCGAAAAATCCTGTAATGCACGGGAGAACTAAACACATCAACGTTAAGTATCATGCTATACGTAAGGCTGAGAAGAATCAAGAAATAAAGCTGATACATTGCTCCACTGATGATCAGCTTGCAGACATTCTAACCAAGGCTCTGTCTAAAGCTAAATTTGAGGAATTGCGGGAAAAGGTGGGGATTGGTGAAAAAAGTCATTAAGGGAGAGTGTTAAATTTAATGATTTTTTATGTTAAGTTTAAATTCAAAAAAAAAGAAATCCATTGTGAAGTTGTTTCATGGAAGGATACGTAAAATTCGATGCGATGTGTATGCATGATTTTCGGTCGATCTGATTTGATCGGTTGGCTGATGTAATCTGTTTAAATTTGTATTTCTATATATATATGCTGAAATAAAAAGAAGAGATTACTTCTTCTCTCCAAAGAAAGTGCACGCCTCTTCAAAACAGCAAAACAGAGGCAGTTGCATCAGCTTGCTCTGTTTTGCTGCCATCTCTCTCCTCAACTTTCTCTCTCTAAGTTTTCTCATTCACAGAGCCACCTTTCAAGCTTATTTGCTTTCGATCAACATACGGCTCTGTAAATTTAATTTGGCCTCAGAAAATGAAGACTATAATGGTGAATCTTGCAATTAGTCATCCCAAAAAAAAAAGAAAAACAAGCACCGTAAATATTCGTTTACTATACACGACGAAAATCGGTGTAAGTCAATAAAATAATTAGACGTAACTAGTTTAAGTTTGAGAAACTTCCCTTGGATTTTATAAGCAATTTCCGCTGTCTTATGTTCAACAACTCTTTCTTCTTGTATTTTTCTATGGAAAAAGACGATGCTGTTTGGACTCACTGATCTCGTTTAACATAAAGCTGACATCTTATCAAATTTCAATTGATATATCTAACTATTGAAAACATTCCTTTTTTAAAAAAGAAAAACAAGCAAATACGAAAAAAAAAGATGGATATGGCAATCACTGAGTGAGTTTTGATGGATCCACAACCGGGGTCCATGTGATCACGATGGCTTGGATTATGGAGGGCAAGTAAAAGGATTGTGGGAGGAAGACAAATTACAAGAATCCAAATTATTAAAAGATTTTTAGTAGAGAGAGAAGAGAATAGGAACCTTCTTAGAAGGCCAACTTGGGAGATCTTAAGCAAAGTTTCTTTGCATCAAAAGATTACGTCTTACCCAAAAACTCTCTTCCGCACCTTCCCAGAAGCCTTCTTCTGTCAATAATCAATGTAATTGGAGACAATAATGCACCCATTTCATAATTTTGAAGATAGATATATATATATATATACACACACACATATCCTATGACCCCATCAAGTGTAGGCCTGGAATCTGATCACACCGTCCATTTTACAAGCCCCAATTCTATGGTGGGCATGATCAAATACACCCAAGAATCTTGATGGGTTCTTTTCGTTTTAAGCTAAAATATTAAACAAATTTGTCACGCTAGCATGGCCGTATAATTCCTATAAAAGAAAAGAAGTGAACCTTTCCAGGCTAATAAATGCTCTTAACGTTAACCATATCAATCAACCTCACTAGCTACCATTGTCAAGTCATGTGTGTATGTATATGTATATAAAGTCACGTTGCGCCTTGACAAATACCATTCAGACATTGGATAAAATTAAAAGCTACTTTCGCTGCCAAACATTATGGAAAGTGACGGACTTGGCACAACAACAACTACGACAGAGTGCGAGTATGAGGACCTGTTGCCGGTGATGGCAGAGAAGCTGGACGTGGAGGCTTTTATGTCAGAGTTATGCGGTGGGTTTCGGCTGCTTGCAGACCCGGAGAAAGGGCTGATCACGCCGGAGAGTCTGAAGAGAAACTCAGCGTTTTTGGGGATGGAAAAAATGAGCAAGGAAGACTCAGCGGCGATGGTGAGAGAAGGTGATCTTGATGGAGACGGTGCACTGAATGAGAAAGAATTCTGCATCTTGATGGTTAAGCTTAGTCCAGGAATGATGGAAGATGCCGAGATCTGGCTCCAGAAGGCACTGGATCAAGAGCTCAGAAAATCGTCAGCTTGAGTATTAATCATGTTTGTATTTTGAGATTTGTACGATAAATGTTATTCCGTTTAAGCAAGTTATTGTATGCCAAACATCTTAATATGAATGAATGAAAATCCATATCATGTTCCCAACACCATAAGACTTCCTTCGCACAAACAATCTCATTCCTGTTAATTTCTTGTGGGTGATGTATACAGAGCAATAAATATCACAATACTAAACTAATTAATTTCTTATAAAATTGGGGTTTTACTTCGGACTTTTGCGGTATGTATACAGAATAATAGGTTAATTATATTATTTTCTTATTCTGATGTTTATTATTTTATTAAATATCACTTACTAAAATATATAAATTCTTACTTAAAAATTAAAAATATTATACAATAAATACGATCGTTAATTCTTTCGTCTTTTAGTTTTGGAACACCATATGTCAATATTTATATATTTTGATATGTTAGGTTATATTTATTTTTACTTATAACTTATTATATAAAATTATAAATACACATGTAAATAATAATAAAAACAATAAATATCTAAGTCTTCAAACTACTATATAAATATTTGGACCGCCCTTTTAAGATAATAAACTAATACTCGAAGAAATTAAAAAGAATAATTAGACAAGTTAGTAATTAGAGAGAGCAAAACTAATAATAAAAACAGCAACCAATAACCTGTAAACTAAACTGAGACTTAAAGATATTTTAGTATTTATGTAATAATTGTTAATATTTTAAGTATATATATGAAAGAATTCTAGGTAGACATTTACACTTCAATATTGATAAATGTATGAATGATAATACTTGTAATTTGGTCAATAAAAGTATTTGTAGTGATTATATAACAACACTATATACCTTTGCAAAGGGCATAAAGTATAGCAAGAAATTTTAGGCAAACACTTGTTAATAGGAATTGAAAGATATCTCACGGTAATCCTCTTATAGATAGATAATCGTGGTCAATCGACTTATGGTAAAATTAAAACAAAGATCGGTGAATGACTTATCAAACTAAAACACAATCTGTGGAATAACTTTTGAACTTAAAATCATTAACTATTAAATTAATTTCAAGCTCAATTGTCAATAATACAAAACCAAAATATTAATGTTTAATATTCTCATTATTGCCACATAAATGATAAAAATTTATGAGCACTAAATCGTTGAACGAATATATGTCCTAATGATATTCATAACATTCTAAGTATAAATACATTTGATTTAACAGTTTTTTAGGATATAGACTCTTAATTCTCAACAATAAAATTAAAAATATTGATAGTTTATTTTGTTAATGATATTTGAAGTCACGTTAATTTCAATTGGACGATTCTAACATTGATATAATTCAATTATTATCTTTATAGAGAGATATATATATATATATATATATAATATTTCTGGACTACTAATTCATCAATCAAACATTAAAATCTTTTATTGGAAGTACCCACATTGAAGAAAGATTTGCATATATAATCTTTTTTCAAAAAAATATTATACACTGATTATTTAAATTATACACATACATTAATTATAACAGAGTACAAATAAGTTCTAAATAAAATCACACGTGGGAATATAATTTGATTCAAAATTATGACAAGTTATAGAGAACATACTACCAATTCAACTAGATAATAACTTGTATAAACTCTTGGTTTTTATTCTTGTGAAGGACTTTTAGCATGATAAAAAGAGTCCTAGAATTGTTGAAGTATAATCCTGTTAGTTCTTATTTTAATGATTCTTTATCTATATACATATATATGACACCGAGACTGTTCACAGTTATGATTTGAGGATCGGGACTCTAAATCTTAAGATCCAATTTAACTTAAGATTTTTAATTTAGTTTACAATGTTTTATTACAATTCAAGTGTCCATCTATCAATTAATAAGTATTAGACGTGATTGCTTTGTACTTTTCAAGTATCCTATCCAAAATGGACGACGAACTATCTCAAGAATTCCTGCTTTGTGCAAAACAAAAAATGTATTTTTATTATTGGAGCTTGCTTTAGCCATTTACTTTGAGAACGAGCAAGCACAAACTATATTCACCAAAAAAGAAAAATGATAACAAAATACCAATTATCACAGGCGCTTCTTTTTTCTGGATTGAGAACTTTCTGGAGGGTGTAGCTCAATCTAGACACTTGTAATGTTATAAAGGAATTTTGCTATTAACCACCATATTGAAAATAAGATCATCTGTATAAAAGCATGTAATAGACAAGGCAGGACACTCTTTATTAGACAATCTTAAGGAAAAAAAGGAGTACAGTATCTAGAAACCACTAACCCCAACTCAGGGCAAAAGTCCAGAAAACAATGACCATCAACTCCGGACAATAATGCCAATCCCGTGATTAATAGAAGAAAGTACATAGCATTTCACATCCTGTGAGTTGATTAACAGAATGGCCCTGTTTGACCCAAAAAAACATCAAGCAGCAAGAACAAGAAATCATTTACCCTATAAATTGAGGGGATTATTGTTTATTCTGCCATTCCATGAGTTGTTTATAACTTGCCATGACACCAACATTCAAGGACATATGTCCAATGAAGTCTGTGTAACCAACTCAGCCACACCAGACTCATCAACCATTTCAGTGACAATATTCTTTCTAAACGTCACATACATTAAATCAGCAAAACCAAAATATTATAACCCCAAACGAGAGACAAACCGATACCCAATTCACATTCAGCAGTTATGTTGTAAATTGTTCAATCATTTAGACAGATAAAAAGCCCCATCTTTCGGAGAATGATTCCTACATCTAAGAACTAAAGATAATTTCACACCATGCTAACTTGTCTACAATATGCATCTGAGAAATGTAAATTTCCAGACAACAAACAAACTTGTGGCTGCAAAGGCCTCTTCTTCCCATTCATGTTCTTGAACTTCGAACTGGCGATCGGCTGTCGACAGATCAATTCAATGAGATGGAAACCTAAAAAGGTGACATGTAACAGAATTAGCAACAAGTATGAAAGCAGATACCAATTACCTGCGGAACCTGCCATACTCAGGGCTCCTGTTCCTCCCATAATCAGGACTCCTCCGCTTTTCATATGCTGGGCCATCATACCGGTCATAAACTGGACTACGCGCACGACCATAATCAGGACTTGGTCGCCTGCGATACACTGGACTCGGCGACCTTCCATATGGACTTTCCCCACGCCTACCATACCCTCCCCTTCTTGGACTACCAACTCTTTCATCCCTTTCATCATCATCCCTTAATGCATACTCAACAGATACAACTCTGTCCAATATCTTACTACAGATCACAAGAACTTAGTCAGAAGCAT